AGACACACAGCCCCTCCTGCACCAGCAGCTCCACTGCAGAGATTTAACTCCCTGCTCTTTCAGAGTGTCCTGTGTCTGTAATGACTAGCAGTCAGGACCCTGGGGTCAACATTTGAACGCCACCATCTACTACACTACAGTGTCACTGGACACCATACTGGGGCACTGGCCAGTTCTGGACCATGCTGGTTGATTGCAACCATTAGAAAATCAACCGCGAGGCTTTCCTCAGAGGTCTCCCATCCCACAGCTGAGCAGACCCAGACGTGATAACTGTTGATCTGATGAGGTTTGGCTAGAATGTGGTTGTGCCGGTTGATCTAAAGAAAAAAAGTTCTCTATCCTCTCCCTCGGAGTTGGACACAAAAATAGGATCAGCTGAAATCTTGCAAACAGGAGAAATTTGTTTACAAAAGAGAGGAGGGCACTTGACCAGTCAAGTCCGTTGTTCTAAGTACGTTACCCAGCCCGTTTCAGGAAAGTGAGGGTATTGGCTTCAACAATGTTGGTAAGCAGTTTGGTTCACACACCCACCACCCTTTGTGTAAAGAAGTGCCTCCTGTTGTCCGTTTTAAATGTGCTATGTCTTTTCCTCTTGTCTGCATAAAATGTCATAAATGGTTTGCTCAGTCTCGACATATTTTCCACGTTTGCTAATAGTCTTAGTTTGGTATGATCTGCAAACTGGACTTGCCGACTGTTCTAGGATCTAAAGGTCAATTATATAAATCGGTGACCCTAGTACAGGTCTCTCTGGTTCTCCATTAATAATATTATCGCAGGTGCAGCATTTACCCATTATCTTTACTGTTTTCTATTTAAAGTCCAATTCTCTGTTATGGGGAACCTGGTATTTTTAGAAAGCTTTTGATGATGCCTTGTGTGTATCCATTGTTTATTTAGGTGAGACCTACCTTTTCTTAATCCATGATGAGTTTTTCCTAGGACATCAGCCATATACTGTAGGGGATCCTCTAGTTCAGTTTAATAGTTTCCATTACATTGAATAAACATCTGACTTATTGCTCTATAATCTACTGCTCACCCTTTCTAGGAACAGCTTCCAAGCGTCGTAGATTCTACCCCTGCCTTAAGCGCTTTTCTGAAATGTTTTTCCTGTTTTCGGTTTTGAAATACAGGCGGCAGGGCAGCCCAGGGGTTAGCGTTGCTGCCTCACAGCGCTGGGGCCCTGGGGTGCTGTCTGCGTGGGGTTTGTATGTGGTCCCCATGTCCTCCCTGTGATGGGGCCCATCCCACGGCCCGCAGTGTCACTGGGATACTGGGTACTTGCTTCCTGCGTTCGTGGCGTCCCTGTTGATCATGGTTTCTGACTCAAAGCCACACTCAGGACAGAGTCCAGTACGAGTTGAGAGCCTGGGAAACAGTTGTGCCTGTTTGCACAGTGCCCTCTTGTGGGCAGCAGTCAGTCTCCCCAGCCATTTACACACACTGTAAACAGTCATCCAAAACCTGCAATATATGTACAGGACTATATATTTTTTAAAGGAAAATCTAAAATGCATAAATTGTTAATAGTGGTGTAGGAATCATGTTTGGTTTTTGTGTAATGCGACATTGTGTAAAATGTCTGTCGGGGAGCAGGGTGCCTTTAAGGTAATGGTGGAGGTTCCAGACGATGAGCTCGGGTGAGTTAGTCCCATTGCAGGATTCAAGGAGGAAGGTTCTGACTATTGTTGATAATTTGAGAAAGTTATTGTTTGGTTCCTGCGGTTTCCTTGCCTGCTGCCATGTAAAAAAATGACTTTTTTAAGTCTCCTTCGTGGTTCAGGTTAGCTTCTACTGTGAACTGAGCCGAGGTGACCGCACAGGGAGGAGAGGGCCCTGTGACACTCCCTCAGCCCAGGGGCACGCTGGGAGGTTCACTGGTTCAACTGAACACCAGCCAGTGTTCGAAACACTCCTGCCCTTCGTTTCGGCGACTGTAGGCCATCGGCAGGCACCGAGTTTGCCTTCAATCTGCTTCAGCAGAGGGAGTGGTCGAGTCAAACTCCAGTGCCGTCGCCTCTGAGGACTGAAGAGATTCAGTTCCTTTGCCCCGTTAGCGTGTGGCACAGCGAGTGTGGGTGTCCAGTGCAGTTCTCATTCTGATCCGGGTGGGGTTCTGTAGTGCTGTTTTTTCATTTTCTATCTGGGACACCAACGAACTAATTGAACCGAACGAGTGGCTAACGAGTTCCCTCAGTTGTTTTCCAGATCAGCATCACACCCAGGGCTCCGGCTGCCGTCACCGAGAGACTCGGGTGCGACTCTACGCTCGGTTCACAGGTGTGTTTTGACTCAACAGCCCACTCCTATCATACAGGCAGTTTATTGCTGGAGCTGACATTGTTGTACAGAGTCAGGAACAGAGTGACACAAGGGCCGGACTGAAAGACACGGGTGTTCAACAGAGAAACCACGCACAACAGAGCAATCGGCACGAGGCCACGTTTCACAGCGTCACAGTCAATTCACATCCTAATTAGCCAGCAGGTCGATAACGGAGCGGGAAGCTAATTGCCAGTGGTGGATTCCCGGGATACAGGACAACAGCAACGTTACAGATCTGCCGGGAGTAGCGCAGTAAAAACGCCACGTTTCTGTTCACGGCAAAGGACTGGTAGACAACGGGCATGTGTTACAGCAAACATCAACACCACCACATACAGTACATCACATGTACCCTTCGTGTCGGAAGAGAGGGACTGCTACCTTGTACTATCACAAGTGTGGTCAGTTTTAGGGTGCCTGGTATTGTTATTGGTGTACCCCTCCTGGTAAAACGGGGGTACAGTTGCTCACCCGATTTGATTTCGGTAGTTGGTCTGGCCTTGACATGATTTATCCATTATCAAACTGCAAAATACAAAAAATTCAAATACACAAGAAGAAGAAAAATGTATTCAGGTGGTGAGATCACAGGGGGAGCCCCTCTCTCTCTCTCTCCTTCTCCTGTCTCCGTCTTCTCCTCTTCCCTGTGATCCGCTCCTGTCCGAGTGTGTCTCCTGTCCCCCTCCTGCTCCCGTCCCTCCCGCGGGCTCTGCTCAGCGTGACATCATCCGGACGAACTCTGGGGGGAGAGAGAGCAGGGTGACTCTTCCTCTCCGGGTCAGGACCACGAACACTTCTTGTGTCCCACCGCCTCCCACACCCCCGCCATCTCACCCTCGAAGTCGACCAGCCCGTCGCCGTTTAGGTCCACGTCTCTCAGGATCTCGTCGATCTCTCGGGGGTTCAGCTGCTGCCCGAGGAGCTTCTTCATGGCTTCACGCAGCTCCGCCGTGCTGATCTGGCCATCACCGTTCGAGTCAAACTGACAGAGAGGAGACAGCCAGGACATTAACACTGCACTGAGAGAGAGGGGTT